TGAAGATTATGAACATACCTATTACCCACAAAAATTATCTGGCGTTCTTTTGTAATCAATTTCTCTCTTGCACTGCCTTCCCATGTCCACCTGCCAACTGCATCCCCAGGCAACCCTTCATATGCTTTGCTACTGCGGACTAGTTTGCATTTTTTGGATGCAGTCTGCATTGTGTATTCTTTCTGTGTCTGGCTTTTTTCATTCAGCGTAATTATTCTGAGATTAATCCATGGTTTTGCAGGTACTCATCATTCATTTCTTTTTAAGGCTGAATAAAAGCAGCAATATTCTATTATCATGTAGATATCACAATTTGCTTATCTATTCACCTCTTGATAGACATCTGAATTGATTTCAGTTTTCCACATTTACAAATAAAGTTGCCTTCAGCATTGGTGTTCAAGTCTTTGCATGGGCATATGTTTTCATTTCTCTTGGGCGACTACCCCAGGAGTGGAACAGCTGGGCTGCATAGTAGGTTGATAAAGAAAATGGCTTTCCAAAGTAGTCGTATATTTTATATTTCATCAGAAGTGTATGAAAGTTCTAGTTGCCCTACTCCTTGCCAACATTTTAGTATGTCCATCTTTTCAATTATAGCCACTCTAGTGGATGTGTAATGCCATACTGTGATTTTCACTTGCTTTTCCCTAGTAGCTAATGATGTTGAGCATGTTTTCATGTGTTTGCCACCCACCATATTTGGTGGTATGTTTTTTGTTAAATATCTTCTCACTGAATTGTAAATTTTGTATTTTGGGTAAAAATACTTTTACATACATAACATGTTATGTAAAATATTTATTCTTAGTCTGTGATAGGCTTTTCCACTTTCTTTTTATTGTTTTTCTAAAAAGTAATATTTTAATTTTGGTCTTTAGTTTGTAGATGTCTACTTCTATAGTTTGTACATTGTGTGCATGATATGTGCATAACAATGTTACTAAGATGTTTTATGCTTCTAGGTATAGCTCTTATGTTTAGGTTAATGACCCATTTGGGGTTCACATTTATATGTGGGGTAAGAATTGAAAATTTGTTGTTACTGTTCTTAGGTAGCTATTTAGTTGTTCCAAAAATGTTTATTAAAAAGATTATTCTTTTTCCACTGAGTTACCATATGGAATAGCTTTATTTTGAATTTTCTAGTCTTATAGTGTTGATTTTTCTCTGCTCTGATTATTGTTATGCTATGGTAAGTCCTGAAATCAGGTAGTATACCTCTTCCAACTTCAGGTTTTTTTATTTTGTTGACTATTCCAGATCTTTGAAACTTCCATATGAATATTAGATGCAGCTTCTTAATAGTAACAAAAAATACTTAGTTTCAACAAAATTTTGATTAAAATTGCATCAGCTCTATAGATAAATTTGCAGGGAATTGATAATCTTGAGTCTTCTGACCAGTGGACCCGGGGGATGGCTTCCTTTATTAAATTCTTTAATTTCTCTAGGTAATATTTTATACTTCTCAGTCTATAGACCTTGTGTGTCTTAGGTCAAATTTACTACTATTTTTGATATTATAAATGGAAATGTTAATATTAGTTCCAATTATTTCTTGCTAGTGTACAGAAACATAATTTGTTACACTGATTTTGTTACCCTACAAATTTGCTAAGTTATTAGTTGTCAAATCACGTGATTACCATCTGTGTTATAACTCTCCAATAGCATATTATTGTGTTCATTTTTAATTGTCAATTATCTTTTTAAGGAGACAACAGAAATGAGAAAAAGTTTCTCATATATGTTTGCATATTATATTTCTAGAGGTCTTCATTGCATTCGTTCATTCTAGGTACCAATGTGATTTCATTTCTCTCTTGCCTAAAATAATTCCTTTAACATTGCTTGTGGGCTGGGGATTTAGCTCAGTGGCAAAGCGCCTGCCTGGCAAGCACAAGGTTGTGAGTTCGGTTCCTGGTACTGGAGAAAAACGAAAAAAAAAATTGCTTGTACTGTACATAAATTATTTTGGCTTTTGTAGGTCTTACAAAGCCTTTACTTTACCTTCATTTCTGAAATATTTCTAAGTTTCTAAGAGAGACAGTGTCCCCCAAATCTCACTCTGTATTTCTGTGTTCCTTCTCTACTCTCTCCCAGCTGGCATTGCTTCTCAGAAGAATTTGGCTGCCGTTCCTATATCTGCTTTTTGGTATATAATGTTCTTTCAATTGCTCTTAACATTTTCCCTCTCACTTGCTTAAACAGTTTTATTTTTATGTGTCTTGTTTTTGTTCATGTGTTTTGGGTTTTTGGGGTTTAGAGGCTTTTCAAATCCTTGGATTTATAGTTTTCATTAAGTTTGAAAAAACATTACCATATAATTAAATATATATTAAACCATTTGAATTTGTCTCACACCTGATTATTCTTCATTCATTTTTCACTGTTTTCCCCTTTGTTTTAGATTTTCAGTAGTTTAAGTATTTAGACTGATAAATAAATAGCTGAATCTTCAAGTTCACTGATCTTAGCTATACATCCTGAGGAATTTTACTCATCTTTCACCTAATTAGTGATGTTGAAAAAAATTTAAACTCTGGCACATTTAGCTTCATAGTAGGATGTTTTCCATTTCATCGTTCATATTATGTTTTATTTTGGCAACTTAAAATAGGATTGTAACTCTCACTGATTTAATTAAATAGTCATATTTGGACTTTCTCCCTTTCCTCTTTCTCTTTAGTTGAGCTTTGTGAAAAAACAATCCCTTTGTTACCTTGGTTCATAGGCCCTTGTACATATAGCACTATGATTGTCGTCCTGTCAATATTATGGCAAGATTTAAATCCATGTGTTGATGGTAGACATGACTTCTCCAGACAGGAAAAGCCATGGTGTTATGTCTCTCCTAAAGGGCCAGCACAGAGAAAGCTTTGGGTGAGACACTAAATGTGTGTTCTTTTGGGATTTAATAGTGACTTGCAGAAGAGTCTCTGGGTGACCTCCACCATGTGGAGACAGGCGATGTTCACTTAGCTAAGAAAAGCCACAATTAGACAAAGTTTTCAGGTCAGAGCTTACAGCTCTCAAGACACTGTCTACTAAGACAAACCCTAGGGCCCATGGAAGTGAGCTCAGTATTTTAGCGCTGGAAGCCTGTGTGTTATAAAAATATTTTTAATTCCTCCCAGTGGTAGCTCTTTGCTTTCCCTCTCCTTTAGTATTTAATACAGTCTTGAGATCTTCAGCTTTTCCCAGTTGGATTGGTGAAAACTAAAGGAAGCATATTTTTGATTCATGTAGGTAGCATCATGGAAGCAAAAAAAAAAAAAAAAAAAAAAAAAACCATAGAGAAGGCAAATTCAAGGGCAAAGGCATTGTTTCATACCTAGAAGAAATACTTTCTTCCAGACCTGAACTTCAGAGAATCTTCATTTTATTCACGTGGGCATAGAAATAAATTTCCCAGACTCATCTGCTTATTCTTCCCTTCCTTCCCATCCCCCAGGAACACACATTTACTCCCACTCTTACAAACCCTTGGTCTATAATTGTTGGAAACTAAAGACTAAGAGGTAAATTGAAAGAAAATTTAAGAGTTTTCTCATTTAAAGAGATATTTGGATTTCAAATGAGCACTGCTAAAGACCAAACAGTATTCTCTGTTTTAGGAATTAATACTTAACGGTGGAATTGTGATAGAGGGAGATCTACTGGGGACTTGAGATCTTAGCCTGTCCTGCTTAAATTGTACCCACTGTGCCTACAAGTTTTTATACCTATGTACGACTCTCTTACTTTAGCCTGATCTGTTTTTCTAATGTACTGTTCAAAGTTAAATCTTCAGACAGTCACTTTGGGAAAATTTTATCTATACTTCCCAAGGTAGTTATCTTTTTTGGTTTTTCTCCGGTACCGGGAACCGAACTCATGACCTTGCACTTGCCAGGCAGGCGCTTTTGCCACTGAGCTAAATACCCAGCCCCGGTAGTTATCAATTTAGAGTCTGAAAAAATGATTAGCTACGTACTTATGACAAAAATCTATAAAATATTGTTTTTCAATGAGTTAAAGCTTAGATGAAATGACTGCAAGGTAGGTATGTGAGTTGGTGTTTGGTGACAGTTTGTAAAGCTTGGTCTATGAGATGGGTGGTTTATGAATTCCTAAACCAACACAAAAATTATTTGCAAATTGCATGTTCTCAGGTGTTTTGAAAAGAGTATGATGCTTAATTATTTCTACTTTACTATGTTTCAGAAAAGTTGTAGAGGGATGAAGTGAGTAGATTATAAGAGTGTTCTCTAAGAAAACAAGACATGAGACCTTTATTTTCTAATTACATTGCCATTTGACTCCTTGTGTGTGTGGAGGGGGATTCTCATATAAGAGAAACCATCCAATATTTAACCTTAACATTATTTATTTCACTGATTTATTCATTACTGTCTGATTTATTTCACTTAACATTATGATCTCAAGATGTATGAATTATCCTACAAATGATATAATTTTATCTTTATGACAGAACAGTACTCCATTGTGTGTAAATATCACATTTTCTTTATCCATTTATCTGTTGATAAACATATAGGCTGTTTCTAATATTTATCCATTAGGATACTAGTACTTAGGAGTACTCATGTGTACTCATGCTGTACACATGAGTACGTATTAATCACAGTAATATAATGTCTCTAACACTTCTGGGGAGACACCTAGAGGGGAAATAGTTGGGTTGAATGAAATTCCTAGTTTTAGTTTTTTGAGGAATTTCCATGCTGATTTTTGTAGTGATTATACCAGTCCACATTCCCACCAACAGTGCAGAATTTCCATGCTGAATTTTGTAGTGATTATAGCAGTCTACATTCCCACTAACAGTGTAGAAGACGTCCTTTCTCCCAAGAGCCTTATCAGTATTTGTTATTATTTGATTTCTTGACGATGGTCACTGTCTGAGGTAAGATGGAATCTCAGTGTTGTTTGATTTCTCTCAAGGCCAGCAGTGTTGAACATTTCTTAATGTATTTCCATTTCGTTCCTTGTAGATATTCAGAGAATGAGTATCTTCAGATGATCACAAATATACAAAGCTGTCCATGGAAACGACAAGCAGAAGAATATGAGAACTTCAGGTAAAAAGATTTTTCATAACTAATATGAAAGAAAATATGTTTTTGCTCATTTGATTTTTTACTAAAATAGGCAACATGTTGTTAAAAGAAAACTAAAACCAGGGGCCCACTGGCCACCAGGGTGATTAATTTTAATCACCCTGGCCACCAGGGTGATTAATTTTAAGACCACCTTGTGAGACATATGGCATTCCATCCCAATTCCTTATACAGAAATTGGTAATAATGCTACTGGAATTAATTACAAAACATTGAAACTTTGAAAGAAAGTCATTAATATGCTTTTTATTAAATTTTAGAAGATGTCACTTATTTGTCCCATTTATACTTGGTATTTGTTTATCCTGTAAATAAAATGTGATGGCATTAGAGAATGTTTGGAATACACAGAAGGAAGAAAATCATCCATATTCCTATCACATTAGAACAAAACCTGTTTGTGCTTTTTGCATATACTCCTCCATTTTTTCATTCGCTTCTTCATGCAAGCAATATCCTGGAATGTGAGTTGTTCCGCTCTTGGTGGTAACCTACCGGTGAGCCATCAACCTGGCCAAATTAGGTTAGCAGTAAAGAAATACCTTCAGTGGGAATGGAGGTTTATGTCAATCATCCCAGCTACTCTGGAAACTGAGACAGGAGGATCACAAGTTTGAGGCCAACCTTGGCAATTATATGAGAAGTTGTGTCAAAATAAATAATACAATAAAAAATAAAAAAGGCCAGAGATGTAACTCAGTGACAGAGCACTTGTTTAACATGTACAAGGTTCTGGGTTCAGTCTCTAGTAAAGTCAGGACAAAACCAAACAAACAAGCAACAAAAGCCCTGTTTGTTAGGCTTAGAGAATGTGTAATCCACCTAGATAGCAATAACTTCTGATAGGGGCTGGGGATTTAGCTCAGCGGCAAAAGCGCCTGCCTGGCAAGCGCAAGGTCGTGAGTTTGGTTCCCGGTACCGGAGAAAAACCAAAAAAAAAAAAAACTTCTGATAAAGCAATATCCTGCATGGGTACTTACTGGATACCCCTTCCCCAGTACTTCCAAATATCAGAGCCAGGTTAGTTGTCCTATGCCTGCCTGATCTAGATTATTCTGAGTTTTGTTTTGTTGCCACATTCTGAGTCTTTCCTGGGCATCCCACTCAGGGTTTGAGCTGTGCTAAATAGTTTTATCATATCAAATCAAGACATATGCCTCTTATCTTTCCTTGTTTGTATCTTCAAAGTGTAAGCAGTAAGTCTTTAAAAACCTTATTAATATGTCTTTGCTTCCTTCTAAACTACTCTAAGAAGTACCTGCTGCCTGATTTTTCTTTCTGTGGGAAGCCAGATTGTCTTTGCATCGTTTTGTGGCTCTTCCCATCCCTCCTTCTGTTGGTATCCGCTGGTGAACGCAGTCCTTTAGGAACTGCTTCTGGTTCTGTCAGTGTGAAAGGGTCTGGCCAGGGTCTTGTCTCTTGGGGGTGAAAGAGTAACTTCCTGTTTGAATCAAAACTAAGAATAGCTTTCTTCCCTGCGTTGGGCAGGCACATGGTTATCAAGTGTTCTTGCACCTTAGGCTGTCATTTCCGAGTGAGAGGCTGGAAAGGGTCTCCTGTTCAACTATTTCATATTTTCTGCCCCATAGTCCCATTCAAGACTGGACTTCAGAGATCCTAGTAGCAGGGAGACCTGATAGAAAGTTCAACATCATGATCTAAACTACCACAGGGTTGAGAGTGGCAGCAGCATCTGCTTTTGAGAGACCTCTTACTGAGTAGGCAGGAAAGAAAGAGGTTATCGAGCTATGAAGTGATTGAAGATCAACCCAGACAATTAGCTAGAAAGGCAGGTGAGTAGTGATAGTACAAATCAGGAGTGGAGGGTTAAGGGTTAAGTCCGCCGGTTAAGTTGAATCAGGACAAGCCCTCTGAAGGTAAAGCAAACAAAACAAAGTACACTAAACTCCACGTAAAGACACTGGGAAGCCACTGGCAGAAGGAGAATTTACAGGACTGGGTTTCAGAGGAAGAGGAAAGCCAAGAGAGGCGAGCCCAGCCTCTGGGGCTGTATTTGCTCACGGAGAATTTGCTGAGTGTCCTTATGAAGTGGCTTAGGGGCAGGGAAGGCTGAGCAGGGCTTTGAGCAATCCCTAGAAAAGTCCAGTTCTCAAAAGGACTGAAATCTGAATTTGAATTATTTCCATCCTCAGCTGGATTTAGGCGAGCTGCCCTTAGTCTAATAGAAGCAAAAGTAAATCCTCTCTGGAAGAAGGTAACATTATTCGGAGCTTTAAGTGATTTCTGCAGCTTTTCTTAAACAATGTATGACTCAAGATTTTCTTTTTAAAAGAGTTTTTCTTACTTTCTTTTCTTTCTTCCTCTTTCCCTTCCTCCATCTTTTCCTTCCTTCCTTCTTCCTTCCCTCCTTCCTTCCTTCATCCCTTCCTTCTTTCCTTCCTTCCTTCGTTCTTTCCTCATTTCCTCTCTCCCTCTCTTCTTTCCTTTCCTTTTTGCCTTCCATCCTCCCTTTCTGTTTTAAAAATAAAAATCAGCAGTCTTTTAAAATCCAAACTTGCCTAGCATCCATTCTGGAGATTATGATGAATATAAGTTATATGATGGATGATTCATTTTCCCTAGTACCATCTCAATATAAAAAAATGCATCAGTAACCATGACAATTACCCAATGGCCTATCCATCCTTTCAGGGCCAATTTAAGTAAACATCTGGGGCTATACCACTTAATGGTTTGTTGTCATTCAAGAGAATTGTCATGGTGACATTTATTTATTTACTTGAATATATTATAATGTTTATTTCATAAAGACTATATTTGTAAGCTAAATTACATAAACTCTCAATGGAAGTTTGGCAATTAAATCCTAATAAATCATCCACTTTCCTAATTTTTTACTAATACAGCTGGCCAGATCTGAGAGTTTGTCTATCTATAAAACTAGTATTATAGAAACATCCTCTATTATTATAGATGTCAAGTAGCTAAATAGCTTTCCATTTTATTTATTTATAGCATTTTATATCAAATTGAAGGAAAGTAAAATGTGATCCTTAAAAAGCAATAACATTTTAGCAGCCAATGCAAAAGGTACATTAAGATTTGAAGAACAGGAGCAAAGTGAGCATATTCTAAATCCATCTGCAACCCTGTTGTTCCTACAGCTGACACCTAGGGTCTATTTGAAAATTGTGGGGCTGGGGATTTAGCTCAGTGGCACAGCGCCTGCCTGGCAAGTGCAAGGTCGTGAGTTCAATTCCTGGTACCAGGAAAAAAAAAACAAAAAAAAAAAGAAAGAAAATTGTGGGGCTCCTGCAGTCAACTTATCTAAACAGAAGAGAGATTAAAAGTTATTTTTCTGAAATAAACATGCTACTTTCCAGAAAAGGGGCTAAGATTTATTCATCAATAAATATTTGTTTAGGATTTACTGTGTCAAAACACTACAGACCTCTTTAGTGCATGGTATAATGCTGTGTAAAAAAAAGAGAGCCTCAAGAAATACTTATCAAGTAAATGGTGCATGAAAGTAAAGACGAAAAATTCATTTACTGACCTCACAGAATTTAACCATTGTCAGTTTGGAAGGGCAAAAGACAAAAATATGAATATCCATGATTTAATGTCAAAATGAATGATTGGATAAATTCTGTGATATGTCAGTGCAAGAGCACTGTGGGGTGTAATTTGCTGAAACATTTTGTGGGAAGAGGAAAGACTTGAGCTCTAGCTCTGAGGATGGACAGAGCAAGAGGGAGAGACCAACCTGAGAATAAGGAGGTAAGGAATAAAAACCAGTTAATTTCAAGGCTAGCTGGGGGTCGGGGGAGCCATGAACTTGTACTGCAGGGTACTAAGGATAAAAGGAGGTAGCTGTAGATAGGTGGAGAAGGTCTAATGATGCAGAGGGCTTTAATTATCAAAGCCCATAGGCATTCTGCCCATACCAGGAACCCAGGAGAGATATTCTCAGCGCAGGAATTGTATGATGAACTTATCATTCTGGGGAAACTGTTAAGCCAGCATAATGTTGTGTGAATTAGAGGATTGGGAGGGAGGGAGTTCATAGTCTAAAGGAGTCAGGGTAGTTAGCGGCTGGTTGGAGAAATGATTACAAGAAATGAGAACCTAAGCCATCAGTGGTAAGCTATAAGCTATCTTATAAGCTATAAAATATCAAGGAAATGGCATTTGATCATGAGCTCTGCGGGGGATAGCCTGTCTTATCTTTGCATCTCCAGTGCCTATCATACAGATGGTACCCAAGAAATGGTCACAGTCTTGGTAGAACTTGGCTGCTTATTGACTTCCAGTTCTGTAATTAAAGGAGAAAAAAAAGAACAGAGCAAATGTGAAATCTTGAATCTGGTTCATTGGAATAATCATGGTGCTAGAGATAAATAGCAAGATTTCAAAGGGATGAAGCCTTTGAGAAGACAGCCCAGTCGGGAAGGACTGTGTTTGAGCAGACGTAGAGACACCTGAGTATATAAGATCTTTTTTGATCTGGAAACAGCAGAAGTTTTTAGACACAATGGACTCTCCCCAGAAAAGAAAGCAACTGTGTTATGTAAGAAATATGGCTCTAAAATCTGTCTGCTCAGCAATTCTTTCTTTTGTGCCATGCAAGACGCTGTCCTGCTTTTATAAATTCCTAAGCTGCTTTCTATTTGATATGTAATTTTGGGTCTGAGAACTTTGAAGCCTGGTGTTTTTGGTCCCTATCTTTCCTGATCCTTTATCTGGAAACATGAGAGGTTTAACTGCAAAGTTTTTAAATCCAGAGTCCACATCAAAGGCTTATTCAATCCCTTGAGATCATGTGTGGAACTTTGTAAATATTTCGGGGGAAAAGGATCTATAATATTTGCTAGATTCCCAAGCAGTCTGGGACACCCCAAATGAAGTCACACATCCTAAGGACTCTTCTGCATTTGAAGCTCTTTCTGCTTTGGGATCAGATTTCTTATGTAACCTTTCCTGTAGACCAGCCAAGGTGT